TCCTGCGGAATGACCTTTGCAGTTACTGAAACGCCTTACAAATATAGAGAAAAGTGGCCCTTTGTGCCTCCATAAAGGGGGTGGGGAGTACTCCATGTCCACAGAATACAAAGGACACTCTTTGGGCTACCTGCTTCAGAAGGCCCCAGTTTTAAACTACTCTGGTGGAGAGCTCCTCCCTTATCTAGGTCAGTGGTCAGCATTTTCTCTTGGGAAAGATCTTGTAGTTAGCATGGTTGCAGCCGCCATCAAATCTTTCAAGATGAGGGGGCCTGCATCATGCAGAGAGCTGCTGAGATAAGCGGGAGCAACAGGTGCAAGGGCTCCTTTCTCTAAGGAGGCCAGCTACAGCTGAGGTCCTGTACACACACAGACACAACCTGTACAACAGCGTGGGCTCTCCCAGCTGATGATCCCAATTAAAAATCCAATGAGAATCTTAGGTCCTCAAGCTTTTTGTACAGAATCCATATACATGAGGGACTGGCAGCTAAGTGCCATAATGGAATCTGCCTGTGAATTCCCCTATAGGAATACTCGGAGCATGGATGGAAGTAGCAGCCTTTACAGCTCAATTAAGCATAACGAGAAATAATGCTCATTTCATTAAAGCAGGGGCCCTCAGCGGTCACTTTTCCCCAGTTATGCGTCTCAAGTTTCTATTACGTCAGTGCTCTCTCTGTTCTAATTATCTTGGTTGTGCAAATACACTGTCTATCCATATGAAGCAAGTCTGGGGGCCATCAAGAAATACGCGGTGAATTTCCTGACTGCATAACTATTCAGTATAGATTATTCTCAAAAGTCACTGCTTTAGGCCGGCGCCACGGCTCAATAGGCTAATCCTCCACCTGTGGTGCCAGCACACCGGGTTCTAGTCCCAGTCGGGGCACCGGATTCTGTCCTGGCTGCCCCTCTTCCAGGCTGTGGCCAGGGAGTACAGTGGAGGATGGCCCAAGTACTTGGGCCCTGCATCCCATGGGAGACCAGGATAAGTACCTGGCTCCTGCCATTGGATCAGCGTGGTGCGCCAGCCGCAGCGTGCCGGCTGCGGCGGCCATTGGAGGGTGAACCAACGGCAGAGGAAGACCTTTCTCTCTGTCTCTCTCTCACTGTGCACTCTGCCTGTCAAAAAATAAAAAAAATAAAAAAATGAAAAGCACACGTACAACATTATTGTACACTACTGTGCAAGGAACAACACTACCATCCCATTTTGGATTCGACAATCCTGTATTCTCAGGGTGAGCTGACGAACTTGTGGTGAACTGGTCAAGTAACCGCTTCAGAGGGAATCGGGGCAAGTGATGAGGTGGAGAAATCCAATCAGTACCTGAGCGGTCACACAGGGAGCAGGGCCAGGAGTTGCCACATTCTAGCCTGAGATCTGGAAAGCTGGGGCCGGCCGGCAGTTGGGGACAGTCAGAGCTGGGCTGAGGTAGCCTGAGGTTTGTGGAGAGAACAAGCACAGGTGAGAGGTAAAGGTAACACGGAAGATGAAGAAAGACAGCTCAACTTTTGTTGTTAGTATATTATTTGTTTTGGAAGTGAAAAACGGGTTTGACTTTTTTTTTTTAATTAAAGATGTATCAGAGTAGGCTCTAAATTTAGAGATACTGATTGTTTCTCCAAAATCAAAAGCATTCACTAGAAAATATTTAGCTTTGGGTAAAGTCTATCTATCTCTAGTCTTACGAAACATTCCTACAGACTGCAACACTGAGAGAAATTCCTGGTTCCAAAGGATTTGGTTCAAAAGTGCAAGGCTCAGGCTGAGAAGACCAGGCACATCTTTCCCGTGCTGTATTGAAAGTACTTGGCAGTGTGATCGGCAATTTCAATTTTACATCTTCAGGGCTAGAAATCTTGCCTGTTTTGCTGCTAAGGAAGGGTGAATGGCTGGACAATAGTGGAATTAAAGCCTTTTACTTGCTAAGTCATGAGTCTTTGTAAAGAGGATAAACAGGTTAAGTTTGTTCTCCCAACAGCTAGAGGCAAGAGTTTTACTCAGTTATTACAACATTACCACAAACATGTGGATTCTGCAAAAGTTGCCTAGCAACACTCCAGTTAGAGACAACACCGGCTGGGGAGAGGAACTGGAAATCTGAATGAGATATCCTGGGGCAGGTGGGTGTAACTTCTCTCCGGGGACAGAGTGTGCTGTACTTGGAGGAGCGTGAAATTTGAAAAATCAGCAGTCACTTGAAATTTCAGTTAGGACATCGCTGCAGTTCAACCATAACACCGTGCCACAGTCCCAGCCAGGGGATGCACGGCCCAGGTTTCTGCTTCATTTGGGCACTTTTGTTTTAAAGACCACTAGATTTTTATTTGATTATTCCTGAAACGTGTATTAAGCACTCTCTCCCAGGCCAACGCACCGTGTATGGGGTCTCTACAGATAAACAAAACTTGGTTCCAGTCCCGGATGGGAGGGCAGTCAGACAAGTAAACAAAGCCAGAGCATACCCAGTCAGTGTGCAAGGCAGCAGGAAGTTCCAGAATCCAAGATGGGCTTGGGAGAGGCGGCAGCCCAGCACCAAGACTCCTTTCCAGCTTTGTGACAGTTCCTTCTTCCCCATGGCCATTCTCTACACTTTTTGGGAACTTACCTCAAGGTTCTGCACAGGGACCTGCGTGCAAAGTAGGAGTTGATAAACAAAAGCCAGGGTTCAGACTGTTTACCACTAGGAAGGGGGAGCGGGCTGAGGACTGAGGGGATAGGAGGGGACTTGTGTACCACTTCAGTTCTTATTATGAGAGGGAAGAGCAGCGGAAAAAGACCACAGAGAAGAAAAAAAAAAAAAGGAAAGAAAATGTGTGATATCTGCTAACCTCTACAAACTTAACAGAGTTGTAACCTTCTGTTCAGAATATTAAATAGGCGAATTAATCTGCAAACATAACAATTTAAGGAAGCAAATAAGCCAAAAAATATTTTAAGTAAGGGCTCTTTAATCAAGCTCACATGATAGTGAGCACTAAGCCCTATCAGAATGCTGCAATCAACAAGATAGAGAAGGTCCCTAGCCTCAGGAATCTCATTTTTCTAGGTGATAGAAATCAACAACACCGAGATAAATATAAGGCTCTTAAGGAAATGGAAATACAGCAGGGTGTTGTGAAAGAGCTGGGGGGAGGAACCCGAGATTACAGGATTAGCCACGGGGACAGAATTTCTATACAGGAGGGGTTTAGGAGCCCCAGGAGAGCTGGGGCAGGCACCTAGGGAGCTTTAATACCCCTCTCCCCCAGAAGGCACACTGTTTTTACACACACCTCGAGTTACAGATCAATACAAAGCAGTTTCTAAAGTTCTTTTTTTTTTTTTGTATTGACACTTCACATAATATAGAGAAAATGTCAACTCTCCATATCAAAGAATCCTATTTGTCGTCAAGAGTGACAGGAGGGGAGGTGTTGGAGGAAGGGCACTGAAACCTCTCCTTGGGCCACTGGATCAGAGAATGCAGCCCCTTGAAACGCACCAGCACCAGCATAGAATTCTTGTCCTCCAAGAGCTTAAAATTAAGTTCGGTTTAACACACAAAAGAAGACATGTATATATCACTTAGCAAACACTTGAAGGAGACAGCTGTTGACCCTGTACTATCTTCAGCTGTGCACCAGGAAGCTGCCCACGGAATGTGTGAGGCGTGAAGCTGTATTTTCATTAGAAATTCAGCTTGAATTGATTTAGTTTTTGAAAAGTGAAAACACATACGACTGTGTTAACAGCCATAAAGTATTACCATAAGAAAAACAGACAACAGAAATAAATGGAAATGTTAGACCCAGGACAACTGTCCAGTAATAGCAATTAGAGCAACAAAACCACATTAACAAAGCTTAAATACCCACTGATGAGCATGCCCTAACCCACTGCCGCTGTCTGGGGGCTTACATCCTATGACCCAGTAATTCCCACTCCAGGAATGTATCCTTAAAAAATAAAATCCCCGCAAACAAGAAAGATGCAAAAATGCTCTTTAGGGGGTTATTTACAACAGAAAAATTGGAAGAAACTTGTATGAGCAATAACGGATTTGCTGAGTAACATTTTCGCAGAGCACAAGAGGTCCCCCACCACCACCCCAATTAGAACTTAACACTGCAGCGAAGCGGGCCAGTGGTTTTGCCAACAGCTGTCCACGTGCTGGCAAACAAAGATAAACACCCCGGACGCACGGAGGGCACCTAGCTTCGTGCTAGGGCCACCTCTGCTGCTGCTTCTATTTACGGTGGACCGGCCTTGGGTCTACTGGAGGGGACTACCTGCCTGGGGGAGGTCACCTCGCTGCGACACGCCTTCCATACAGCCGCCCCAGGGGGAAACTGAGGCACGGAGGCCGCCCCCACAGTGCCGCCAGACTTCGGCGGGCGGGCTCCCCACGGCGGCGGCTCGCACTACTCGGGACGGACCGGAGGCGGAGTCACCATTCGCGGCTCCGACCTCGACCAGGGAACGTGACGGCCCACAGCCACGCCCACAACGCCCAGTGGCCTGCCCCAAGGGGACACCGGGCAGGAGACGGCCGCCGCGGGCACTGCCCGAAGCCACGCGGTCCCCGCTTCTTCCAGGCCCGTAAGGGCTCAGAGACGCTCCTCGGCCGCCCGCCCTGCTTCGGACCCCAGGAAGCCCGAGGAGCGGCGAGGAGGCCGCGTTCGTTTCCGTCGGGGAAAGCCCCGCGCCCTTCGCCCCTCCCAGGAGGCCGCCTCGGCTCCGGGGCCCGGCCCCATCCGGGCGGTGTCCGGGTTCGGCCGGGTCGGGCCCCCGGCCGCCGGGGCTCCCTCATAGGCGGGCGGCGCCGGGACCCGCCCAGGCCAGGCGCGGCGCCGAGCGAGGGTGGAGCCAACAGTTCGCGCCAAAATCGCGTAGCTGGGCCCTCCCCCGCGGGCTACGTCGCGCCCTCTTTTTTTTTCAAACCCGGAGCTGGGCGGGGATTGGTGGGCTGGACGTTCACGTGGTTAACGGTCGCGGGAAGCCGCGGAGCCCGAACTTTCGCTGGACCTGCGGAGACCCCTGCCTAGGCGTCCAGGCTGTGCAGCCTGTGCAGGGCAGTCCGCGCCACCACCATCGCTGCCGCCCCGAGCCCGGAGCGCCCAGGAGCCGCACCCCGCCGCGACGCAGTCTCGCCGCCGCCGCCGCCGCCTCCGCGCCCGGGCGCGCCCAGTCGCACGTGGCGGACCCGCCCCCTGGGCCGGCCTTGCGCTGGACTCCGCGGACCCCGGCTGTCCGGTCCTCGGCCCCGGCCCCAGGCCCGCGATGAGCTTCCTGAGCCGGCAGCAGCCGCCACCGCCCCGCCGCGCCGGGGCCGCCTGTAGCTTGAGACAGAAGCTGATCTTCTCGCCGTGCAGCGACTGTGAGGAGGAGGAGGAGGAGGAAGAAGAGGAGGGTAGCGGCCACAGCACTGGGGAGGACTCGGCCTTCCAGGAGCCCGACTCGCCGCTGCCGTCCGCCCGCAGCCCCGCGGAGCCCGGGCCCGAGCGCCGCCGCTCGCCCGGCCCGGCGCCTGGCAGCCCCGGGGAGCTGGAGGTGGACATGCTGCTGCCCGGCGCTTGCCCGAGCGCGGACGGGGCGGGCGGCGGCGGCGCCGAGGGCGACTCCTGGGAGGAGGAGGGCTTCGGCTCCTCGTCCCCTGTGAAGTCGCCGGCGGCCGCCTACTTCCTGGGCAGCTCGTTCTCGCCGGTGCGCTGCGGCGGCCCGGGAGACGCGTCGCCGCGGGGCTGCGGGTCGCGCAGGGCCAGCGAGGGCCCCTGCTCGCCGCTGCCGGACCACCCGGGCACGCCACCGCACAAGACCTTCCGCAAGCTGCGGCTCTTCGACACGCCGCACACGCCCAAGGTGAGCGGCCCGGCGGCCAGGGCCCGCGCCGGCCGGCCGGCCGAGCCTTTTAAAAAGGCCGCGGCGCCGGGGCCGAGCGCGCCGCGGCCCGGGTTCGGTTACATAACCGCCCGGCCGCACCCCCCCGCTCGCTCTTCTGCGCCGCCACCCAAAGTTGGCAGCCCCTCGTTTGGGCCCTGCCCAGAAGTTGTCCGTTAAGATTATGTAACTGAACAATGGGCCCGCTCTGGGACTTCTTCGGCTGACAAAGGGGCAGAAGGGCGCCGTCCAGGTGGCCGAGGGTTTGCCGCCCCTCCTGGAGCCGGGCTGCCCTGAGCGGGTCCGGCCCGAGGGCCGCCCGCTAACGTGGTTCGCTAGGATGCTGGCTGGGTGCTGGCGCGGCCGCCTGACACTCCCGAGCCATATGGTGCCTTTTAAACGCAGCCACGGGGCCTGTAATTTGGGCGGCGCGGGCAGAAGGAGTTCGGTTAAAAAAAAAAAAAAAAAAGGGAAACCTGCACTTGTGGTTTAGTGTGGTGTGGCGCGCCGGGGAAAGTTTGAGGTCTGCAGGGGCCTGGGAGTGGAGGCTGGTCTGCGGGCTCCTGGCGGCGCGCACGCCCCTGGCCCGACCCCGAGTGTCGGGTAAGCTTGTTTGTCTCCTGGGGTTTGCGGGGCCCCGCCGGCCGTGGGTCCGGTGTCTTCAGGAGGTGTGCCGCACCTGCTCGCGGGCGGCCGCTGAGCCTGCAGCTCGCCGCCTGTAAAGCTGTCCGGGCACAGCAGATTTAAACACACTTCCTCAGTGGGGTTAGCAGGCAAAGGGGAGCTTCTGCAGCGTCCGTTTTGTTTTCGCGGTACCGTTAGTCATAAACCTGAAGGAGTACGTGCGCTTCGGAGCTTTACTGCTGATTAGCCGCCTCGCCCGCGGCGGAATGAGGGGCGGAGTCCCGCGGAGGTGGCTTCCAAAGCCCTATTCAGAGGGGGGAGGGGAGCTTTTGTGGGACTCTGGCTGCCTTCTATTTTTAGATGAGTTGAAAAAAGGCTGGTTTGTTAACTTTTGGCCACCAAAATGAACTGTTTTAGTCCGCATAAATATTCTTTTTCGGCCTACAGACCGATTTCACTTTGTTATCTTTTCCCAAAAAGGTAGTTAGTATCTAGCTTGAGACTTGTTCTGTGGCCAGTGTATTTTGCTTGCAGTATAACAAAGGCCTGTGTGTTGCTTTGCGTTCTGCCCCAGGAAAGGCTGGTGGAAAATTGGGTTGAGAGGGCTGTTCAGGGTGCAGATCCTAAAAATTTTATTTCTCCTCCCCTAGAGTTTGCTCTCCAAAGCTCGAGGAATTGATTCCAGCTCTGTTAAACTCCGGGGTGGTTCTCTATTCATGGATACAGAAAAATCAGGAAAAAGGGAATTTGACACACGACAGACCCCTCAAGTGAATATTAATCCTTTTACTCCGGATTCCTTGTTGCTTCATTCTTCAGGAACGTGTCGTCGAAGAAAGAGAGTGTATTGGAATGAGTAAGTCATTTAACAATTTGCTTCCCCAAACCAACAAAGATTTTTTTTTTAAAGATTGATTTATTTTGACAGAGTAACAGGGAGAGATATTGTCCATCCTTGGTTCACTCCCTAAATGCCCACAAAGGGTAGGGTTGGTCCAGGCCAGAACCAGGAGCCCGGAGCTCCATCCAGGTCTCCCAGGCAGATAGGGGGCACGTTTAGCAGGAAGCTGGATTGGAAGTAGAGCAGCTGAGACTTGAACTGGCGATAATACCGGATGCTGGCGTGGCAAGCACAGGCTTAACCTGCTGCGCCACAATGGCTGGCCCCTCACCTCACCCAAGATCGGTTTGGTATATTTATCAAAATTTAGTTTCTGTTGAACAGCATAGATATTTGTGCTTTGAAATTTTTTCCTTTACTAGCACTTATCCCCTAGAAGATAGAAATTAATGAATTATCTGGAGGAGGAGCAGTGTGGGAAAGAAAAGAATAAAATACCTGGATATCTTGCAAGAAATCTGGTATCAGAAGTGAGGCAAGCAGAGAACGTTAGTTTAGAAAGGCTTCAGTTTTGATATGTCATCAAGTGAGCATGTCTAAGCTGAGCCATTTTCTTCAGCTTGTCTGAATCTAGTGACTACAGAATTAAATGCTTTTATGTTTTTGTTCATTAAAATTCGATTTCATTGTACACTTATCAGATGAAGTTTTGGATCTCAAATTGATGTATCTGTTCAGAGTGATGGAAAATTACATAATATTTTTTCAGTTCCTGTGGTGAAGACATGGAAGCCAGTGATTATGAATTTGAAGATGAAACAAGACCTGCTAAAGTAAATAGTTTTGTATTTCCTTTTCTTTTTTTTTTTTTTTTTTTTTTTTTGACAGGCAGAGTGGATAGTGAGAGAGAGAGACAGAGAGAAAGGTCTTCCTTTGCCATTGGTTCACCCTCCAATGGCCGCCACAGCTGGTGCGCTGCCGCGCTGATCTGAAGTCAGGAACCAGGTGCTTCTCCTGGTCTCCCGTGGGGTACAGGGCCCAAGCACTTGGGCCATCCTCCACTGCCTTCCCGGGCCACAGCAGAGAGCTGGCCTGGAAGAGGGGCAACCGGGACAGAATCCGGCGCCCCGACCAGGACTAGAACCCAGTGTGCTGGCGCTGCAGGTGGAGGATTAGCCTAGTGAGCCGCGGCGCTGGCCTATTTCCTTTTACTGTATCTGGAAATTTGATTTTATAGCTCTGAATAATAATAATACATGATAAGTACATGTTAAATAAGCATTAAACATAGTTACAATGATTTCTAAATTTCACACTTGGTCCTTTTACCATGGCAAAAAGTCATTTTTACATATTTATAATGTATATTTGATATGCTTTTTATTTTTTCATTTTATTTTTTAGAAAACTTTTATTTAATAAATATAAATTTCGAAAGTACAACTTTTGGATTATAGCGGTTTTTCCCCCCATAACCTCCCTCCCGCCCACAAACCATCCCATCACCTATTCCCTCTCCCATCCCATTCTTCATTAAGATTCATTTTTAATTATCTTTATATACTGAAGATCAATTTAGTATATACTAAGTAAAGGGATATGCTTTTTATTACAGAGGATTACAATTACTGAAAGCAACATGAAGTCACGGTATACAACAGAATTTCATGAGCTAGAGAAAATTGGCTCTGGAGAATTTGGTTCTGTGTTCAAGTGTGTGAAGAGGCTGGATGGATGCATTTATGCCATTAAGCGATCAAAAAAGCCATTGGCTGGCTCTGTTGATGAGTATGTGCTAAACCTTTTGTCTTTTTTTGGTCTGGTGTGTCGTTAAATACATTAAAGTTTTCGGTAATTGAACACTGACCACTGACTTTGCCTAACTTTTGAGATGTTAGAATAATTTAGTTACATCCTTTAAATTAAAAAAAACTTTCATTAAAAAAACTTTTAAGATTTATTTTCATTTTATTTGAAAGGGACAGAGACAAAGATCTGCCATGTACTTGTTCACCTCAGAAATGTCCACAATAGCCAGGGGTAGGCCACACTGGAGTCAGGAACTAATTAATGATTTCTGTGTGCATTACAGGGACCCAAGTACTTGGGCTAGCACATGCTATCTCTTACGATGCAGGTTAGCAGGAAACTAAAATAATGAGTAGTAGAGCAGAACACTCCAATATGGGATGCAGGCATCTTAACAACTATGCGAAAAGTCCCTCACCCCTCAAGTCCTTTAAATTTTGTTAATTAGTTGTTACTGGATTTGGGGAATACTGTGAGTAGTTTGATTTTAGAGCCTAACAAACTTTTTTTTTTTTAAAGATTTTATTTATTTATTTGAGAAGTAGAGCTAAAGACAGACAGATGGAAAGACAGAGAGGTTTTCTATCCTCTTTCTGGTTTACTCCTCAAATGGCCGCAATGGCTGAACCTGGGCCAATCTGAAACCAGCAACCACGAGCTTCTTCCAGGTCTTCCAAGCGGGTGCACGGGCTCAAGCACATGGGCCATCTTCTGCTGCATTCCCAGGCCATGGCAGAGAGCTGGATTGGAAGAGGAGCAGCTGGGACCCTAAGCAGCACCCATATGGGATGCTGGTGTTGCAGGTGGAGGCTTATTAGCCCGCTACGACATGGTGTCGGCCCCCAGTTTTTTGTTTTTTGTTTTTTAATTTAGTTGAAAGGTAGAGTTAGAGAGATTCTGCATCTGCTTGTTCACTCTCCAAATGGCTTCCAGTGTCAGAGTTGGGCCAGACTAGAGCCTGGAACTCCATCCGGTTCTACCACACGAGTGGCAGGGACCCAAGTACTTAGTCCATGTTCCCCTGCATTCCCAGGCGCATTAGCAGGGAGCTAGTTTGAAACTAGAACAGCCAGGGCTTGAACTGGCACCCATATGGGATTCTGGCCCTGTAGGTACCAGCTTAACCCACTGTGCTACAATGCTGACCTTAACTTAAATTTCCTTCTTTCTTTCCTTTTTTTTTTTTTTTTTTTTTTGACAGGCAGAGTGGACAGTGAGAGAGACAGAGAGAGAGAAAGGTCTTCCTTTTCCATTGGTTCACCCCCCCCCCAATGGCCGCTGCGGCCAGCACGCTGTGGCTGGCGTATCGCGCTGATCCGAAGGCAGGAGCCAGGTGCTTTTCCTGGTCTCCCATGGGGTGCATGACCCAAGGACTTGGGCCATCCTCCACTGCACTCCCGGGCCACAGCAGAGAGCTGGCCTGGAAGAGGGCAACCGGGACAGAGTCCGGCGCCCTGACCAGGACTAGAACCTGGTGTGCCTGTGCTGCAAGGCGGAGGATTAGCCTGTTGAGCCACGGCGCCGGCCCTAAATTTCCTTTTTTCTAGTTGACACCTATGAATTCACGGGAAATTTTTTTTTTAAGATTTATTTATTTGAAGGTAGAATTACACAGAGAGAGAGAGGTCTTCCATCTGCTGGTTTACTCCCCAATCAGCCGAAACGGCTGGAGCTGTGCCAATCCAGAGCCAGGAGTGAGGATCTTCCTCCGGGTGCAGGGGCCTAAGGGTGCAGAGGCCCAAGGGTTTGGGCCATCTTCCACTTCTTTCTAGGCCATAGCACAGAGCTAGATCAAAAGTGGAGCAGCCAGGTCTCAAACTGGCGCCCACATGGGATGCTGCCACTGCAGGCAGCGGCTTTACCCGCTATGCCACAGTGCTGGCCCCTACAGTAAAATTTAGTCTTTGCTGAGTCCTAGGGCCAAAAAGATTTCTTTTTGACAGTCGTCTTTGATGAAAGCCTTTGGAAACCCTCATGAGTTTTAACTGTGTGTCTTAAGCAAACTGTTTTTAGTATAATAATAGAAAAGTCAAGTTTTTGCGAAGTTTCAGATAAATTAATACAGTTTAGGCTTGAGTAAAAATGATTTATTTTTCTATTGATTGCAATTTTCTTGTAGGCAGAATGCTTTGAGAGAGGTATATGCTCATGCAGTACTTGGCCAACACTCTCATGTGGTTCGATATTTTTCTGCCTGGGCAGAAGACGATCATATGCTTATACAGAATGAATATTGTAATGGTAAGTGATGTAATAGTTCTTTCTCAATTTGTGAGCTTGGGAAAATGAACACCGAAGAAAATTTATTACCATTTCAAATATTGCTCTGTTTCTCTTTTCTCTCTTAAAAATCCAAGGTCAAAGGCCTGGCATGAATTTGAAGTGCAATTAAAGATTGAAAACTTAGTCCCTTCTGCAGCCCCTGTACATACCTTTTTATTTATTTATTGTAGAGATTGAGTTACAGAGAGGTCTTCCATCTGCTGGTTCACTTCCTAAATGGTTGCAATAGCCAGAGTTGGGCTGATCAAATCCTGGAGCCAGGAGCTTCTTCTAGGTTTCCCACCCGGGTGCAGGGGTCCAAGCACTTGGGCCATCTTCCACTGCTTTCTCAGGTAACTAGCAGAGAGTTGGATCAGAAAAGAAGCAGTCAGAACATGAGTTGGTGCCCATATAGGATGCCGGTGTTGCAGATGGAGGCTTTGCCTACTATGCTACAGCACCAGCGCCCCTCCCCCATACCTTAATAGAACTTTGCATGCTATTTATGTGTCTATAACTCAGATTAAACTGAACTTCTTTAGAGGACAATGACTTGGACATACATACATATGTGTCCTTAACAGGTAGCATAGTGTGTGAGGCATACAGTAAGGTGTATTGTCATTTGTTTGCCGTAGCTATAAAAGAAATATCTGAGACTGGATAATTGATAATGAACAGAAGTTTTATTTGGCTCATGGTTCTGGAGGCTGGGAAGGCCAGGAGCACAGTGGTCTTTGTGCTGTTTTATCCCATGGTGCAGGTGGTAGGACAAGAGAGGATTGAATTTGCTTTTATAACAAACTCACTACTATGATAAGTACATTAATCCATTCGTGGGGGTAGATTCCTAATAACCTAATTTCCCCTTTTTCAGCCCTGCCTCCTAACACCTATATTGGGGACTAAGTTTCCAACACATGACTTTACACATTCAAATCATGACATTCTGCCCCCTGCCCACAAAATTCATGTGTTTCTCACAGTGCAAAATATTTGTGTGTTAATATTTTAGTAGTCCCAAAAGTCTTAACTTAATCCATCATCATCTCAAATCCAAAGTCCGGAGTCTAATCTAAGCCAGATACAGGGGAGATTCAAAGCACAGTTCATCCTCGGGCAAATTTCCTTTGCTTGTGAGCCTAGGAACTCAAGTTACCTGTTTCTAAGATAACAATGGTGGAACAGGCATAGAACAGTCCCACTCTGAAAGAGAGGAATAGACCAGGAGAAAAAGGTAACTGGTTCTGAGTAAGTCCAAAATCTGACGGGGAAGATAATACAAAATCTTAAAGCTGGAGAATTTTTTATTGCATGTCCTGCATCATGAGCATATTGGGGCTGTGGGTTGGGCTCCAGGTTTAGTAGGCTTAGCCTGGGGTGGGAGTGCTGCCACTGCTACAGGTCTCTGCCAGGGCACGCAGCCTGTCTGTGATCCTTGGAATGTAGATGGAGGGAGCCTTGCCCCTACATTTCTTGCACTCTGTATTCCTGCAGAATTAGCACTACATGGACACTGGACACTGCCAAGGTTTATGGCTTAAGTTTGAGAAGCCATCTCCAGCAGTGCTTGAGAGGCACTCGGGCCCTCTTGAGTCACAGCTTAAGTGACTAGAGGGTATTGTGCTAGAATTGGTGGATCAAAGTCCTAGGTGGCCCTGGGCAGCAAGTACTAATGTCCGGACCTCAGTTACCTTTTTGGAAATCTTTCCCTTAAGGTCATCCTAGTTTGTTTCAGAGATCTCCAAAATCCCTTTGGGATGTTTTTCCCAGTCTTGTTTAGTATCACCTGACTCTTTCTGTATTACCCTCCTAGGGAAAGGTCTCTTGGCCACATCTTTTGCTTTGCTCTCCTAAAGATAATTTTCACTCTTCACATGGCAAGACTCCAAACATCTAAAATCTTTGACTCTGCCTCCCATCCCCCCCCCCTTTTTTTTTTTATTTATTTGACAGAGTTAGAGAGAGAGACAGAGAGAGAAAGGTCTTCCTTTTGTTGGTTTACTCCCCAAAAGGCTGCTACAGCTGGTGCTGCACCGATCCGAAGCCAGGAGCCAGGTATTTCTTCCTGGTCTCCCATGTTGGTACAGGGACCCAAGCACTTGGGCCATCCTCCACTGACCTCCCAGGCAACAGCAGAGAGCTGGACTGGAAGAGGTGCAACCGGGACTAGAACCCGGTGTCCATATGGGATGCCAGCGCCACAGGCAGAGGATTAACCAAGTGAGCCATGGCGCTGGCCCTGCCTCCCCTTTTTTTAAAAAAAAAAATATATATATATACTTATTTATTTATTTGAAAGACAGAGTTACAGAGAGGCAGAGAGAGAGGTCTTCCATCTGCTGGTTCACTCCCCAGTTGGCCGCAGGAGCTTATTCCATGATCTCCCACGTGGGTGCAGAGACCCAAAAACTTGGGTCATCTTCTGCTTCTTTCCCAGGCCATAGCAGAGAGCTGGATCAGAAATGGAGCATCCGGGTCTTGAACTGGCACCCATATGGGATGATGAAACTGCAGGCTGCAGCTTTACCCAATATGCCACAGTGCCGTCCCTTCTGCCTCCTTTTTTTTTTTTTTTTTTAAGATTTATTTGAAAGAGTTACACAGAGAAGGAAAGGCAGAGAAAGAGAGGTTTTCCATCCTCTGGTTCATTCCCCAGTTGGCCTCAGTGGCTGGAGCTATGCCAATCTGAAGCCAGGAGCTTCTCACACGGGTGCCAGGGGCCCAAGAACTTGGGCCATCTTGTACTGCTTTCCTGGGCCATGGTAGAGAGCTGGATTGGAAGTGGAGCAGCCAGGACTCAAGCCGGTGCCCGTATGGAATGCTGGCACTGCAGGCGGTGGCTTTACCCGCTACGCCACTGCGCCAGCCCCTGCCTCCCTTTTAATAATAGCTTCTGTCTTAATAATTTATTGATGCCCATCAGAATGCCTTACAGTGGATTCCCAGCTCTGGCTACTGAATCCATCTTCCTGCTAATGCACACCCTGGGAGGCAGCAGTCATGGCTCAAGTAGTCAGGTTTCTGCCACCCATGTGAAAGACCTGATGTTCCAGTCCCCCAGTTTTGCCTTGGTCCATCTCTGGCTATTATGAGCATCTGAGGAGTAAACCAATAGATGGGAGTTCTGTCTATCTGTATGTCTTGGTCTCTCTGTCTTACATTTATTTATTTATTTGAAAGGCAAATTTAGAGAGAACCTTCTATCCTCTGATAGACTTTCCAGATGGCTGTCACGGCCAGGGCTGGGCCAATCAGGAGCCAGGAGCTGCTTCTGGGTCTCCCATATTGATGCAGGGGCCTAAGCACCTGGCCCTGCTTTCCCAGGCCATCAGCTGCTGGGAGTGGAATTGGAAGTGGAGCAGCTGGGGCTTGAACTGACCGCCATATGGGAATGTCAGTGTTGCAGGTAGTGACAACCTATTAATGCCACAGTACCGGCCCCAAACATAGATATTTTTTAAAAGAAAATAGCCATTATAGTTCCTTCAATATTGTGCTTAGAAATTTCTTCACTAGATACCCCAGTTTACCGCTCTTAAATTCTGTCTTCCTTAAAGCCCTAGGGCACAGACACAGTTCTGCCAAATTCTTTGCAAATGTATAATAAGGATAGCTCCTGCTCCAATTCCTTGCTCTTCAGTTCTATCTTGGCCCTCATCAGAATAGCTTTTTTTTTTTTTTTTAAGATTATTTATTTGTTTGTTTATTTGACAGGTAGAGTTATAGTGAGAGAGAGAGACAGAGAGAAAGGTCTTCCTTCCGTTGGCTCACCCCCCAAATGGCCACTGCGGCCGGCACTGTGCCAATCCGAAGCCAGGAGCCAGGTGCCTCTTCTTGGTCTCCCATGCGGGTGCAGGGGCCCAAGCACTTGGGCCATCCTCCACTGCTCTCCCAGGCCACAGCAGGGAGCTGGACTGGAAGAGGAGCAACCGGGACTAGAACCCGGTGCCCATATGGGATGCTGGCGCCGCAGGCAGAGGATTAGCCAAGTGAGCCACGGCGCCAGGCCCCAGAATAGCTTTTACCACACATATTTCTGCGAAAATTGATCATGGCCCTGAATAGGCATTTTTCTTTTTTCTTTTTTTTTTTTTTTTATTTGACAGGTAGAGTTATAGACAGTGAGAGAGGCAGACAAAGGTCTTCCTTCCGTTGGTTCACTCCCCAAATGGCCACTATGGCCAGCGCTGCACCGATCCAAAGCCAGGAGCCAGGTGCTTCTTCCTGGTCTCCCATGTGGGTGCAGGGGCCCAAGCACTTGGGCCATCCTCCGCTGCCCTACCGGGCCATAGCAGAGAGCCGGACTGGAAGAGGAGCAACCAGGACTAGAACCCAACTCCTATTTGGGATGCCAGAGCCGCAGGCAGAAGATTAACCTAGTGAGCCGCGGCACCGGCCCACGAATAGGCATTTTTCAAGAGAAGAAATTGAGATGGCCAACAGACACTTGAAAAAATGCTCAGGATCACTAGCCATCAGAATGGCTCTCATAGAAATCAACAAGCAACAAATGCTAGCAAGGATATGGGGGAAAAGGTACCCTAATCCACTATTGGTGGGAATGTAAACTGGTGCAGCCACTGTGGAAGACAGTATGGAGATACCTTAGAAATTCATAAACAGACCTACCATATGACCCAGCAGTCCAACTCCTGGGAATTTATCCAAACCACAAAAATCAGCATATGAAAGAGTGATCTGTACCCCTGGTGTTTATAACAGCTCAACTCACAACAGCTAAGATATGGAATCAAGCCAGATGTCCATCAACTGATGACTGGATAAAGAAAATGTATATATGCACTATAGGGTACTACTGAGCTGTAAAAAAAAAATTGCAGTGCTTTGTTCTGCAACAAAATGGATGCAACTAGAAACCATTATACTTAGTGAAATAAGCCAGTCCCCAAAATGCAGATATCATGTGTTTGATCTGGGATACCTAAAATGTAATGCTTTGGAGTAAAATGGACATT